ACTGTATATGATGATTATCATATTGTTTTTTTTTGTTTTTTTTTTGAGAAACCAGGCTTGTCGGTTAACCTGCGTGATTTCAGAATTATAGCATTTTATGAGTCTGCACATGTACAGAACAGTTAAACAGAGAAAATGTAAAACATAACAACAAAAGAGCCTATTAAAGGCCAAATACTAAATAAAAGAGCAAACAAGGCAAAGCAAATTTTCAGTTTCAATCATAGTTTTAAAAGACCTTTCAAAGCTTGTTTGTAATAGTGTTCATTGACAAAAAAAGAGGAAGACCTTAAGGTGCTGTTTATATATGATTTGATAGGCTATTCAAAAATAACTTTCCCTGGTATAACGTAATATAGCTAGGTTTATTTAGCTATTTCAGAAGAAAAATGCAATTATATATTTACAATTATATATGTGAATGTAGAAGTAATAATAAATTTTTAACTGTAACCTGACAAAACAAATCTGTCTAGCTATAGAAAATTTGATAGATAGATAGATAGATAGATAGATAGATAGATAGATAGATAGATAGATTGTGTGCACCTGTATAAATGTGCATTTACATGTGCCTTTTTTCACCTACTTACCCGACCTGCATGTAAGTCATTGACCTCTGACCCTTATGTTCACAAATCTCTGATGTGTTTTCTGCATCTGCTGCTGCTGCTGCTAAGGGTCACAGAGTCCGTGTGTGTGTGTGTGTGTGTGTGTGTGTGTGCATGTTCACTGCAGACCGCTACATGAGCATGTACTTTTGACAGAGTAGGAGGCAGTATGCATACTTTCCTGGGATAAAAGGTGCTGGTGTGGAACTGCCACTGTCTGGAAACACACACACACAGTGCCAGGCTGACTGTACACATCATCTGACACCGGGCTTCTTGCTTTCTCGTCTCAGCAGTGTATGTGCAATGTACCTGTGTGTGTGTGTGTGTGTGTGTGTGTGTGTGTGTGTGTGTCGCTCAGGCTCACTCTACCGTGTCAGTCACACGAGCAGCTGAGTCCACATCACACACATCAGCTGTTTACACACCATCCTGTGTTCTGAACCACAGATATTCACTAGAGAGACACCATTGAGATTCCCCAGAGAAACATTCATTGCTCAGAGGTTTCTCTTTCATGGCTCAGGAGACTTAATGGAGTCACGTTTCACTTAAGCATCAACTTTGACTCTGATGTTTTGCCTAAAATTACTTAGAAGAAACGAATACACAATAAGAATATAGTAGACATACAATAAGAATATAGAGGCATAAAGTGAATGTGAATAGCATCACTTGCGGAAAAATAAGTGCGCTTAATTGCATTGAATATGCACTTGTAGTGTAAATCTTACCGGTATATTTTAAAATCTTGTACAAATAATATAATAGTGAAATAAAACTCTGGAGAGTTCACTTTCATGTTTAACACTTAAGTACACTTCTAAGAAGTGCACTTTGTAATAATGTCAAATTTAATTAATAATCTTGTCATGCTTTAAAGAAGTGCACTTATTTTGATGAGTTGACTAACAAACTAAAGTACGCTACATGCAAAGTACTTGATTATAACTTTAACTGTAGTGTGATATGATAATAAATTTAATGTATTTTAAATGTACTAAATTGCAACTTCATTCAAATATATTTAAATACAAGTGTCAACAGAAGTAAGTATATTTTACCATAAATGCTTGTAATATACATGTCAGTACATTCAGCAGTATTTAACCATATTTCAATGACCACAGAAGTAATGAAATTACAACTTAAGGTAAAAAAGCACTAATTGCTTTCAATATGAATGTAAACTATAATACATTTTCATATAATTGACAATAACATGCAATTGTCAGAAAATATTATATTCAGTTCACAATTAAGTATATTCTTAAATTATATTATTTCCATAAGTGTCCATATACTTCTTAACAAGGGATAGCATCACATTAGTGTCACTTTAGCATGCATTCATGGAAGAATTTGATAAATATTTCAGCTCAAATTGAGTCTGACTTTTAATTGCAGATTTTGAAAAATCATTGCTCAGTTTGAGACTTTATAATGTCTTAAATGATATTTGAGAAACACATGCTCTCAATTTAATCTCATTGCCATCCAAGAGAGACTATTGGGATTTTGTTTTTATTTTGTCTGGGCTGATGTCCATAGTTTTTGTACATCTGTGAGCATAAACGTCCTTCTTTTGTGACCCACAGAAGAAAGGAAGATTAGAAACAACACGAGGGTGATTAAATGAAGACAGAATTTTCATTTTTGGGTGACATTTATCTTTAATAGTATGGTTGATTTTTCGTAATAAGTTGAAGTGTATGTAAAAAAAAAAAAGTTTTTACAACATAAAACCAGTAATCGAGCTTGCTCATGGAAACATAATAATCACAAATCCTTCTTGATTCCTCATGCAGTTTGGCTCCTCGTGTATGTGTGTGTGATTTTCTTATAATCGCAGTTTGCAGAGGAGGATGACGTCCATCTTCCTGTTTGCTTCTGGTTATGGTGACCGTCCACTCCTTCAAGTGTGTAACAAATCCTCCAGCGTGACTCATCAGCGCCTCTTTTTGAACTCTCAAGGTCCCTTGTTTTCCAAAGAATTCCCTGCGGTCACGGGTGTTAAGAGCCTCTTGTTTGCTGACTTAGCCCAAAGGACAACCGACTACTGAATGTTACGTAATGTATAAACGTGAGGAATTTTATATTTTTTAAACGACTATACTGCATAATAACCATTAAAAGCTTATAAAATCTGAAATGTGCCTTCTGTTGGTGTGACCTAGTGCATCTAGGTTGATTGAGTCACATTATGTGACTTAGATGTTACCACATGAAGCATATTTTATCTTGCCTGACTAAACGTTTTTATGAAGGAAGCACAAAAATTGTCCACAGACTGACAGGAATTACGTTTTTGTGGTCATCCAGCATGGATGGAGCTGGAAGCTTCAGTGACATGTCTGGCATAGCAGGAATTCAACACTTTACTGTTTACTAGGCCCCCATGTGGCCCAATGCTCCCCCCCGCCCCACCCCACCATTAACAGAGTAACACAAGCTTTGTTTTAAAGCTTTCTTTTTGGATACAATAAGGAAAAATTTAACATAGTATTTTAAAACATTTACCACTACATCAACCTTAAAATAAAAAATGAGGGAAGATTTCCCTCCTTTTTTTTAACCACAATGCAAGAATGTGTTACTAGGAAAATCAGGGAACCCAAAATATTTTTTTTCTAAGATAACCAGTTTTTATTGTCAAATCAAGCATGCTTTTATGTTTTTTTTAACTGTTAAGATTTTGGATTCACAAGGAAAATTCCCTTAAAGTTTATAGAATACAACAGACACCAAATAAAACATCTATATAAAATAATATCCATCTGAAATTGCCGTCCACAACTTGAAGTGCATGCAAAAAAAAGTTAAGATTTAAATACAGCCATATGGTGTTCCATTCCAGCTTCTCTTGGTCGGACATTTTGCTGCCAAGTTTTAGGACGGCTGTGCGTTCATGATAAGTGACATTTGTTGCACAGGAATATTTTACAGCAAGCAGAATTACAAGGTAGTGTGTGTGTGTGTGTGTGTGTGTGTGTGTGTGTGTGTGTGTAGACATGCATGTGTGCGTAGATCCCATCTCCTGCAGTCGCCTCTTGGAGCAAGGTTGCTATGTTTTGTATCTACAATACTGTACAGTTTATTTTTCTTTGCCTTTCTGCCTCATTTCGGTGGTAAGAAAAATATCCCGTTTGGTGTGGATTCTCTTACAAAGATGGTTTTTAAACATTCAGGACAACAATTTGTTTGGAAGGAAAAGAGAAAGAAGTTTTGGAATACATTTTTGGTAGATTTTTTTTTTTAAATCACTCTTTTTAAACTCTGATCCTAATATTGTCTTTGTCTTCAATGGTGAAGAATTCCGATCAAAGCTTCTTTTAATACTTTAGGGAATTTTCAAACGCCGTGAAGTTTGGCTGTAATGCCCCAAGATTTGTTCTCCCTGAAAAAAAATCATAAAGTAACAATATATTAAACTACAGAGCAACCTTGCTTTGAGAGGTTTATGTTTACTAGTTGTTCTAGCATTCCTGTGCTTGGTATTTCTGTTCAAGTAGCCATGTTCATGCATTAAAAAGCATTTTTTTTTTCTTGACTACAGGGCTTTGGTTCAAATCCATGGGGCATTACTTTAACAACAGAAACAGAATCAAGTCTGAAATCGATGTCAGAATGAAAGCAAGACAAGGTTCGATCTGTCATGTCGTGTTGTTTTTGGTGTGAGCAGAAGTTTAAATCTGAAAGCAACACAAAAATGGTTTGTGTAATGAAAAATAAAACGCTGGTAAAGCAAAGTAGTTTTATTCACACAAATTTAATAAGATATAACAACTGTTTGGTCCATAAATATTTAAGGGGAAATAGTTTCTATACACCATCTTTTTTCAAGAAACAAGGAAACATGGACAATCTTGATAGAACACGTACTGTACTATTAACACGAAGATCAATATATATGATTCTCGGATTTACCAACTAGTTCTGAAAGAGTGCACAACTGCCTTCTATGACATCGCCGCCCCCTTGTAACAGAATACACCATTAAAAAGATCTTCAGAAAAAATCAGATGAAAAACAGAACAGTACAAAACTAGTGAGGCGTTCCAAGGATGGAAATCATTTAACAAACAAACATGTATCTCCTGAATTTCACAAACTCTCGTCCAAGTCGCATAAGGCACATAGTAGAACTGAGTTAAGCATCTACTTCATGAAGTAGATCTAGTGTACCACTTTGTTCTACAACAGAACAAATTTGTCATCACACAAGGAAATGTTTCACCCTAGCGAGGAGCCCCGACCGATCTCCAACCGAGCCGTAAATGGTTTTTTTTCTCTTTTTTTTGGTCTGTTCGGTGGCAAAACGGGGGAAACAGAACAAAACGGGGTGATGTGTGTCGCTCCTAATTAAGTACCACTTTGTTCTACAGCAGAACAAATTTGTCATCACACAAGGAAATGTTTCACCCTAGCGAGGAGCCCCGACCGATCTCCAACCGAGCCGTAAATGGTTTTTTTCCTCTTTTTTTTGGTCTGTTCGGTGGCAAAACAGGGGGGAAACAGAACAAAACGGGGTGATGTGTGTCGCTCCTAATTAACTTCCTGCTTAGCATTCACAAATCACTCATAACGCTTCCTACTGGGCACCATATTGCCACTGAGCGCTGGATATCTTCATTCAGAACAGTTGTTTCACTAGTTGAGGCCCGACGAACGATCCAGGCCAACTTGTGATCGGATTCACACCACATCGTGGCAAATTTACTGTTTCAAATTGTCATTAGAGTCCAGAGTCAGTGATAAAACGGACCTAAATTGAGGTTACAGCATCCACTTGGCATTTAAGGACATAATATACGAATATTTTGTTGCTTGAACATATTTTTGGAAATGTCATCAAATATATTTAGACTTCACTACCAAAATATGCAGTAAACATAGCATGTGCTGTATGCTGACACACTTTGTTTTAATAAACGTGGCGTGTTGAAATTGCAACTATATAAATAAAGTGATCACAAAAACAAATTAACTGACAAGTACTACAAACTCAGCTGCCACGCGGTTGCAAATGCTACACATAGTAGGTCTCGTCTTACATTTCCAAAGGTCTTTCTGTGGTCGCCGAAGGGTTTTTTGTTGTGGAAAATAAAAATAGAATCTGAAAATAAAGGGGCTAAAGACAAAAAAAACCCAAAAAAAAGCAAATCCGTGTTAGAAAAGGTTTGTCAAGGTAGTTTGTGGGGGGCTCCCGGATTCGTGGCTGTCCAAACTAGAGGTCACTGATGTTACTACGGTGATAGAGGGATTGGTCAGGTCAGTTAATGTGGTGGCTGTGCTGGGTGGGGTCAGAGCACCGCTGTCGGAAGAGGGCGGCGGAAGTGACGTGCCGTCAGCCTTATCAACACCCCCATTCTCCTGCCGCAAAACGTTCCTTCTGAATTTGGCCCGTGCGTTTTGGAACCAAACCTGCAAACCAATCCCAGTGTCTTTACTCTTTTTGTGCTTGGCTTCGAATTATTGTCATATTTTTGCCTACTTGTAAGTCATATCATTTAACATCACAAACTTAATCACTACTAAACAATGCCAAAGTTAATCGAAAGCCTCAACTTTTACTTGGGATTCTACTGGAAAACATGGACCATGTTCCAAATTAACTTTTCAAGCTTCCCCAATGGATTTTTATTGTATTTATTTATTTATTTTTTGGTGCACAAGTATTGCCCCTTGAATTATTGCCCCTCTATTTAGTAAAATTTGTGTAACTACATGACCGAACACAACAAAAAATAAAATGATGGATGGATTGAAACGGAAAGCAAGATGATGAGAAGGTGTTGGTGTGGATGTGGAATGAAGTCTACTGTGTGGTGACGCTTACCTGAAGAACTCTTTTGGTCAGTCCTGTCTTTTGGGCGAGCTGTTTTAAGTCCTTGGCATCAGGGTTGTGGTTTATGGCGAAGTAGGACTTCATGGTGCGAAGCTGATGGTGTTTGAACGACGTACGCATGCGCTTGGTCTTCTGGGATGGAGGGTAGGGTTGCTGATCCCGATCCAAATGGTCTGCATCATTCTCGTTACAACCTGAGTGCCAGAACAGGGCAAAAATAAAGCAATGAGAATTATGAGTTTATGAAGTTCAGGAAGATTTTTGACCTGGATCTACATGGTGATTCAAATACAGTGCTGTAATAAGCTATAATAATAATAAAAACATGCAATAAAAAAGGTTCACTTGATTTTAGTTAACTTCATATTAATGATAAAAAAAAACAAACATCAGAATGACATGACACCAGACTAAATTAAATGAATATAAATAAATTGGCAAATCACCCCCAAAGTACATTTATATATAGTAACTAAATTCAAAACAACTGCTTTAAGGCATGTTTGACAAGTAATGTTTTGTTGTTTATTTCATATTCATCTGAGATTTGTCTCCTTTTCATCTTGATAATTTATTGCGTTTAAATGTATAAACATTAATACCAGCAAACTACCTGCAAAAAAACAGCTAAAATGGTTTTATAATCAAAACGGTCAGTTCCACATTTTAAATCGCTGTTTTATTTGATTCATTTGGTAATAAATGCGAAAGATGCTCATTTCATCTCACCGTTTACTTTTATATTTACAGCCGTAAAAATCTACAAAAATGCAAAGCAAGAATTAATATGAATTTAGCTGTGAGGAGAACAAAATGTTCTCACGCGTGTTTACTTCGAGATCTAGATTTCTTTTTTTATATACCACCAGAGGTCTCTATCTACAAGCAACAAGTCTACTGTTGAATTGTTTTTTTAACGAATATAAAAATATATGGTGCTATGTAAAATTATAGATCATTTTGAAATGCAAAACAAAAAACGGTCTAAAACCTAATAACTCTATATTGAAAGTAGCCTAAATAATTTTGAGCTCACATTGTAAAACATGAAAGCAGAAAAACAAAAGTGAAGAAAAGAGAAGACAAAAGATAGAAAAAAACTAAAGAATAACTTTACACTAAAAATATGAGTTTACACAAACAAAAATGCTTAAATACTAAAAACTAAATATGTCAGTAAAAAAAAATGTCAATAATATCGCGGAAGTCGTAGGTTAATAACTTAAGAATGATTACAACTGACAACCGTTTAATTTTGTAAGACAAACTACAGCTTAGGTCTTGATAAAATATTACATCCTTCACAACGCGTTAGTGTCAGGATCAAAAAAGCGAAAGAGTTTAAAGTCGGACTGATGTGCGTAAACGTAACGTGCGCCCGCATGTGTCCAGAGAACAGCAATGACCTTGAAGGGACAGAATCGGAGCTGGTCGAGAGCCAGAGATTCCGACTTCACATTCAATTAACGGAGAACAATTAACAGGCAGATTACCCTTATTTCTCTCCATTCATGAAGAACGGCAGAAGCTTGGCACACAAAGCCACATTTTTCCAAGCAGACAGTAATTGTAACAGCCAAAACAAAACAGGCGCAGCGGGGGAGGCATTACGACGCACGTATGAATTCAAAAAGTAGAAAAAATTTAAGAAAAAAAAAGCGAGGAATGTGAAATAATGGCTGGTAATATGAGGGCAGATACAGGCCTGTAGACGAGGGATCTACACTGCACGTGGGGCTGGGTCACAGGTTCACTCCTTTGAGAATTTCAAATGAGTTGTTTGATGATGCACTAATGAGCGAGGCCTATAATTAATCAGATCCAAACGTCAACAAGACATGCGCGGTATGTTTTACTGTCGCCGAAATAAAATCCGAACACAAAATGAATATCAAACAATTGACGAAAAATTAAGGTTAACATTTTACATTAGCTTACAGTGTCCTATATTACACTAATTCCATTGTTTTAGTAGCCTATATTTAGCCTATAACTGTAATATTTTATACTATTTTATAATCTACAGTAGCCTATTACAATGTAGAATGAACTAGGCAGATTTATAACATTTTTTTGGTAAGTTCGCGATAGAGCGCAGATTTAGGCTACTCGCTACTCTTAGCAGTATAGATGCTACAAGCATCCGAAATGTAGGCTAAATACAATAAAACCACATTTAATGTAATTTGTGTGTAATAGGCCTAACTATAGGCATCTGAACACACTAAAAACACTGCTTTTCCCTTGAACTGAAAGTGGGAAAAAACTAAACTAAACCGTTATAGCAATCAAAATGATTATTAGAACATCATTGGAACATCATAGCTGGTTTGTTACTAGTCCAAGATGATCTACGAGCTTCACCAAGGCCCTACCACCTCATAATCCATCTGATTCATTATCTAGACCAGTTTGGACCCACTTGAAACCATGAAACAACCAACAGCTACAATCAGAGGAGTAATAATCTCCCGTCTATGCCATTATCAATACACAAGCTCTTCTCCTTGTATGACATGGTTTATGCCAAGTTAGCTCATAACAGTATGATGAGTAATGATTATAATCCCGCAGGACAAGTTTTAAAAGTGTCCCACTCTCCCTGAAAGACCCCGTCCCACTTTATCTAGGCTCTTAGAAATAAATGTTCTTTATTAGCATTGACGGTTCCATGAACAACATTCAAACATGAATGGAACCTTAACGTTCTTTATAGTGGAGCAAGTTTCTTCAGGTTATTAAAATATTCTTCACACTAATAAAAAAAATGGTTCTTTTAAGAACGGTTTGCTGAAAGGTTCTTTGGGGAACCAAAAATGGTTCTTCTATTGGATCCTCAGAAAAATCTCAGACCCTCACTAATAATGCAATGCAATTTTGCAATAGATCAAATCAATAAAATACATTTGAGAAATGCATTGCATTATTATTTAGCCTAGCATATAAAGATTCTTGTGATAATTATTACTGAATTTTGCATTTGGTTGTCTGCTGATGTATAAACGGCAATTAAATTAAACGCATTTGTCAATTTTCCCCTTAGTTCTAATGGTAAAAATCAAAGCAATGTTTATCGAAAGCCCAATTATTAACACCTTATGTAGTTAATTAAACTATGCCTACAACATTAACACTGAAGGATATAAAGTGCAATCACAATACAATTTAGGCGTCCATTTGAGCAGCTCTTAATGCACATCTCACCTGAGTTGTAAGAGCCGATATCTATCCCCATCGCCGGACTCTTCCTCTTCCGCGGCCTCCCTTTCTGCACCGTGCCAGTGCCATTGAAGTAAGGCAGCGCGAGCCCTCCGCCTTTGGCCGCTAATTCAGCGTAGTTTAACTGAGGGTGATACTCTCCCTGAATAAGGGTCTCAAAGTGAACCCGGCAGTAAACCAAGTTGTCTTTCATGCCGAAATGGTCACCCGTGGTCAGTGTTTTGTTGCATGTGGTGCAGGTGAAGCAGCTCAGATGGTACACGGAGTCCCTGGCGCGCATCACCATTTCCGAGGCGGAGATGCCGAGGTGGCAGCGGGCACATCTCTGCACGGAGAACCTTCTGGAACAGCACAAGTCATTTATAATCACACTAATCACTTAGATTGGTGATAACTTTAATTAGGTCATTTACAAACATCGCTGAACAGATCAGATCATGTGCATATAGAAATAAATATTCAGTGAAGATATTCTTAAAAGAATTATTTTCGAACCATCTGTTAAAAATTAAGATAGTTAAGCAACATTTTGTTTAACTTTATAAACAAAGTTGAACGTGTTTATAGTGAAACCAGAACAAAAAAAATTCGGATTTCCTTCCTAAATTAAACAATTGCTAGTTTAACTTAAAGGTGGCAGTAAAAACAAACGGCTAAGATTTCAACTTCGAAACAAAAACACATTTTAGACGTGCATTCAGCATGAATTAATTAGATTTATTAGATTAATTTAAGCGTGTCAGTTAATCACTAAAGATCACTATATGGGTCAATGGCTGCCTCTAATGTCACCTGTTCTTTTTGTGCGTTTAAGAAGTTACTAACCAACCGGAAAATCTAAATTATCTGGTTTTATTAAAATGAAAAATATTATTTAACATCACTGAGCCAACCTATATACACAAATTTATACCAACAGAACTCTTTTCTATGAGTTAAATCAGGTAGAAATAGCTTTTTACAATGCAGGGCCTAGTAAAAAGGCCTAATTCAGATTTAAATGAAAGCTTACCTGTAGTAATCCTCTTTGCAGTAAATGCTGCCATCCTTCGCGAAACACGTCAGCTCGGATTCAAGGGCCAGTTTACATTCACAACACTTGAGACACCTTAAATGCCACTGTTTATCAACGGCGAGTAAGTAGTATCTGTCAGAGATTTTCCCACCGCAGCCGGCGCACAGCGCAGGCTTCTCTGGGTTCATGGAGGGCATCGTCTTCAAAAAAATTAAAAATAAAACATGAAGAGATAGAGTGAGTGAACGTTTATGCGCTCAGCAATTGAATTGCAATAGATATAACTACAACTAAATAAAAAAATATATATATTTTTAAATAATTAAAAATATATATAAAAAATAGACGATTAAATGTAATCGGATTGCGAAGTGAATAGCGACTTATTTGTTAAGCCAAAATGAGCTATAATGGATGGTTATACAAGTTATATAGCGTTTGTTTAGGGTTTCCTAAGATGTATATAACAGTGTAGCTGTGTGGTCTATTATAAAAAATACAATTTACAAATTAAAAGTATGCTAATATAATAACAGTAATAATAACAATATAATAGTGTAGCCTATTCTATTTTAAAATTTACATTTACACATTAAAAGCATGCAACTATAATAACAATACTTACAACTTTTATTATTATTATTAATATTACTACTACTACTACTACAGTTTTTGCCTGTTTAATATTATCATATGCATGCCTAAAGTATACAGATGCTATTTCTTTTTAGTAGTGTTTTATCTTTCGTGGCCCTATAAATAGGCTATAACAATTATCCTGTTGTGTTGTAAAAACTGCTCAAATAAAATTTACAATATTTGTAAAAAATCTAGTTCTAAAATATACAATAGTATGTTGGCATACAAACGTTTTTTCATATGTGTTCTTCCCTTTACATGTTAATGAAATACATTTTACTTAAAAATTATAATTGTAGCCTCGCCATGATTTAGCCTACTTTTGAAATCTGTCTGAATATGACTTTTCGTGTTTCTCGAGGCCTGCTAATATTTCAAAACGAGGATCGTACGTTAAAAATTAATTTTCCTCGCTGTGTTTTTAAGTGGGTTACAAACTGTGTGCGACGAGAGTTTTGGGCTGCTGAGATTTGCTCCAACGGAAAATAGCCGTTAAAATACAAATCTTACCGTCTCTCGTCCGTTCATCTGAACGGTTTTAGCCAGACGAGACTCCGATTTAGATCTCCTCTCCATCTCCTCCATGATCCCTTGAATATGATCCCCAGAGATGCCGTGGAAAAGCATGGCTGCTGGACGCAATGTGCAACTGCTTTCTTTCGCCTTGCACCCCACAACTTCCATATACAGCTTTCCGGATCCTTAAAACATCCGAATGGATCTACACCAACAAATTCACACAAATGCAATCAATAGTTTAAAAATAAAGCCGGTGGGATTTGATGGACGGCGCAGGAACAGGCAGGAGAACCAGTCCACTTCTCCACTGTCTTGTTGGGCAGGAGAAAACAAGTATAGTCCGGACGATATAAGGCAAAGCTGAAGTCTGGAGGATGTTTTAAACGTAGATTTTCAGATAGTCCCAATCTCCTACTGGGGATCCGAATGCTTGAAAGTCAGGTTTGGGACTGTGTGTGTTAGAGATCCTGTGTCCTATTTGTGAAGAGAGCAAACGCCTGCCCAGCTTGGGTAATTGGGTAGGAGGAGTCCTCCCTCTCTCCAATGCCACTGATTTCTATTCACCAACAAAGACCTGTCACTCTCTCTTCAAACCAATGGTGATGGGCAACAAAGTCAGGTTTGGGACTGTGTGTGTTAGAGATCCTGTGTCCTATTTGTGAAGAGAGCAAACGCCTGCCCAGCTTGGGTAATTGGGTAGGAGGAGTCCTCCCTCTCCAATGCCACTGATTTCTATTCACCAACAAAGACCTGTCACTCTCTCTTCAAACCAATGGTGATGGGCAACACGAGCTTGGAAAGCACTTGGTATAGACCTTTTACTTCTTTTTAGCTGGTGTTTTGCCAGTTTGACACTTTTTGTGAGGCTTTCTTTTTTTCTTGTAGTTTTTAGCTTATGCTTCTATTGTACAAATGCGTGTAACTGAATGGTTCAAAAGTGTGTGAATTAAGTGCTGAATCATCTGACCTCCCTGTAGTTTTGGGTTTTGACTGTAAAATTGTATCGTAGAGTTGGTTTGGTTTAGTTTATTATCGCGGATTACAGCCACAATGTGCACCTGAAAGCCTGTATGTGTCATTTAGAATTAAACCTCTAAATACAAAATTGTATGTTTTGTTGTTAATGATTTCGCTTATATATTTGCATGCATTTGAAGTATATATATACATATATATATAGAGAGAGAGAGAGGGAGAGAGAGAGAGAGAGAGCCTATAAAAAGTTGTCAGACTGCTTTATCAAGGTGTGTGTGTGTGTGTGTGTGTGTGTTATGGTCTCTTTCTCTTCTGTGTTTGCGGGAGAAAGAGAGAGAAAGGAGCGAGCGAGGGAAGGGGGAGCGATGCTGTTGGGAGGAGGAATAAGCAGTTGTTTACATTCTTTGATTTTCAGATGTCAAACGTCAAATGAATCTCATTGCCACCGTTTCTTTTCTGTACCAATACATACGAGGAATGGTCTAGAACTATATTTGAAAATGATAACAATTACCTCCTTGGTAGCAACATAAATCCAATTATACGTGATAGTAATAATATCAAAGGCAGCATGGATTATGTAGGCGATATTTATGCATCTCTTTATTTACACGTAGCTTTTAAAGCGTAACACTCGTTTCGTTCATTTATTTTATGAATTATTGCTCAAGCGTTGCCTTTTAAAATTCACACACGACTTTCATTAAATGCAGTAATTTATATAGGCCTAATTTGAAATTAGTGTGAGCATTATATCTTTTTAATTTTTAACCTATCATTTACGGGAAAAAGTCTAAGTAGTTCAGACAGACAGCCGCTTCCTTGTGTCATTTTATCTTTATGATCAGTCCAAATAGTTCATTGTTTTAATTAGCTTCGGAATATATTAGTCTTTTCAATGCCCTCCTCTCAAATAATATTCATAAATGATTTCACCCATTAGATAAAGTTCATAAATTCGTCCTAATCTTGAGATATAGCCTATAGCCTAACAGTTCACAACCGTGCGGTTCACTTCACAAAATCGACGGAAAAGATTTATTTCTTTACGTCTGCAAGTCACCAAATTAGCTTTATGTGAGTTCATTTGGTTCAAATAAAGTCTTATAAAAATGTGATGATTAAAAAACGCAATATAGCTACTTTTGCATAAGCAGATTAGTCAGTTCGTTTAATGCCTTGCAATTGCAAATGTAACCGATTATTTTGCTTATACAAAATAAATATTATATTCAATTTTATTTTCACTTGTTATATATATATAACCAACTAGGCTAATTATTTTACTATAGTCGTAAGTTCCACAGCTCTATACGCGAGCAAATTGTATTATTTTATTACAAGCAAAAACGAATCAGGTTGTCCTCCGTTTTATTAAGGAATTATTTGCTCTCTACTCTTTTCTAAAGACCATCAAATTGGTCTCTACCAAACGAAAACCAGTTTAATAATTTGCCTTCTGCAATATTTAGGTTTATTTGTAATGATCTCACAATTTGAGATGTCAATTTTAAATGAATAGCGAAACCATTCATAGCGGATCAGGCTTCAATATAGCTTTACATTAACAATGAATTCGATTTTCAATCTACATTGCATTTTTTCGCCTGCAATAACTTTTACCTGTCTCACCTGCCCTATAGTCTACACGTGCAAATTGAAGGTCTCTCCTCGCCAATTATGCATAAATAATATTTTCGAAACTCTGCAAAGCAAGTCAGTTTATCGTTTACAATGGTAAAACAGTATATTCATGTGCATAAGCAATATAAAAGTGGCATTTTACCGTGAGCCGCAGAGCGCCGTCCTGAAGCCCCAGCAGTGCTGCGGTGAGAGAGATGGATGACGGTGAGACACGAGCGATCCTACCAGCAGATGGGGGCTGTTCCTTGTTTCTCGCGTGAGTGTCAGTTACGACAAATCCAGCGCGAGCACTGAATATACATCAGTTGTCTAATGCACAAGGCCCCTTTCGAGAGTTGTTAGTGGCGGATAGATTCAGAATTTTCTCTTTGAATTTTCTTAATGTTAAATCACTAACTTACGTTAACATTACGCAGTTTTCTTACCTTGAGGCGTCTCGCATGAGGCTACTTCGATAGATAGATAGATAGATAGATAGATAGAACACAATTTACGAGTCCATTGAGTGTTCTAACACGGGTTAGTTGTAATGGCATGAGTTTAACCAATTAGAAATGAGCCACAGGGTTGAAATGGTCATCATACATGATCACCAACCTCTGAAGTGGCAGTAGAAGTTGTAAGATTTTTGTTGTTGTATTTTTACACAATTTTGAGGCGATAAAGTATAATTTCACGTCTGGCTTATAATGAGATTTGTGATAATGCTAATGAATGTGAAATGACAGAACTGATATCATCTGAATCAGCAGGTTCTCGATTAATCTGATATGCAAGATCTATGCAAGCTTTTCGTCTAAAAAAAAAAAGAAAGCATTGCTAAATAGACAGAGAGAGTTGCAACACTTTATAATTTAATTGGCGTTTTGAATTGAAATGTTTCCTATACATTTACCATTTTGAATGAAAATGGTTAGCATTAAATTGGGGATTGCATAATTGTTTTGAACAAGCAAATCCCAATAAATTCATGCACAAAATTTGAAAACTGATGTTCATGTTTTCAATTAGTGTTACAGCCCATCTGGTAGTGAGGTCAGTTGTAACTTTTCTTTCTACTTGACATTAATTTACACAGTTTAAGACGTATAATATTTCTAAACTGCTTTAAATTGTATAAGACCAATATGGGAATATTATATCACATTTTGAGACACAGCACAAAAAAACTGTTACAGACTGAAACAATGTGTTACAACATTCCTAGTCTCCCCTATCACAGAACAAACATGGAACATTTATAAAAGCACCAATTGTAATTAAACTGCAAATGTATTTTATAATGCAGTGTATAACTGGAAGTGCATCCTAGTTCAACCAAAGATAGACAACAACACAAATGTAATATAATGCACAGCTTTGTGGCAACAGTTCAGAGTAATTTAATTTAACAGCTGAAAAGAAACAAGGATTTACCTAATTGGGTTGCTGACTCTAGAAAATCTGTAATAAAAGGTAAAAGTACCAAAGGTACTGGCTGACTGAAGAATGGAAAGCGTTTTGATATCTTTAAATAAGTTACTGGTGTAAGAAGAAAGTCATCTTAACTTGAGAGTTTGGCTTGCGGGCAAACCTTTCATGCCAGGCAAGTCAAAGGGGAGTAGACTTAGGCATAAGTACACAAATAGACCTAAAAATGAAAAACTGCTGTAACATTACCAAAGGCACACTACTAAATTTCCCAGGCTCATTTGCTGTTGACCACTTTCTGCAAATCCATTAACATCAATGTAAAAATCCCCCAGCCATAATCATCTAGAATAATCATAATACTTCAGCATGTCTCATTCAAAATGTCTAAAAAAACTATGGTGGCATACAGACAATTACACAGTAGGCTAACCATGTCCATTTATGAACCATATGTGACGGCTGAACCATGAAACAAATATTTACAAACTGAAGATGGACAACGATTTCTCCAGAGCCATCGTGGTGTACTTTTTTAAGAGGCAACAAAGCTACAGAGCAGATGCTCCTCACCGGTGTTTCGTGCTTTGCTTCGAAGAGGGGACGTTCAGTCTAGCGTGCCTGATGAGGATTTAGCTGCTGTTAAAATCTCTCTCTCTCACTTTCCCTCCCTCCTCACCCCTTTTCTCTTGATGCTGAGCCCTGCTCTGCTGATGCAAGAATCACAACTCCCTGTGTTGACAGATGGAGGATGGCTCCATAGCACATAGCCCGTCCCAACAGTCCAACTGCTGCCTAACCAACAGTTTTTTCACTTCTCTTCCTTTTTTCCTTTTCTTTTTTTTTCCCCTTCCTGCACCACTATACTAAATTTACTAAACCCAATGAAGTTATCCACCTCTGTTACAGTGCTTGCAGGCAGTATTATATTCCTTAAACAGTCTTCGTCCAAATCCCAGACCCTAAATTTGAAACCAACCCCTTTATTCTCCAAAAAACATTATTTTTCTGCCTTGGAAGCACCTTTCAGAATAGTAAAATTTAGAATTTCAACATCTAAGGGTGCATCTCAATTAGCTATAGTTCAGTAATCAATGCACTGGCCAGCGTGTCAGGCATTTCAAGACTGGTCCCATTGTCAAAATTGCTCCAGTATACTGAAATGCTAGCTTCATAGAATTTCCCACAATGCACTGTAAAAACCAGTGAGCGAGTACTTAATATGTTCACTTACTGGTAATGCTGACATGTTTTCTTCA